CAGCTAGCTCTCATATATTTTTTGATAATGAGCTAGCTCTCATATATATGAAAAGCATCACTTGTCACGTTAGGTTAGGTGATAGAACACGTAAGACTAGTTCATTTACGTCATTTTATATTTATTCATGCTATTTTATGTTCATTCACGTAATACTATGGTGATTTACGTAAGAGTGTAAGTTTTTCACGTAAATGGAAATTTATACTTTTTCTCCCTAATAATTTGTATTGGCTATATTTTATGAAATTAAATTTGGATTATCATTTAATCTGTAAAAATATGTTGCATTGATCATAATCTACACAATGGCATCATTTTTTATATATTTCAAAGTTTAAAATTTTATTTTACAACGTGAATAATTAACAATGTGCATGAATAAACATCAGGTGGGGTGACCTAACAGTATTGGTTGCGTGAATAATCAACACTCTTACGTCAATAACACAAATATGACGTGAATGACACAAATATGGCGTAAATAACGCAAATATGGCGTGAATAACCCAAAATTAGGTGTTTTGTCACCTAACGTGACAAGAGACTGCACTCCTCATATATAATACCACACTTCTACATGACTTCTAGGTGTCATATTCTATTCCTATGACTAATTTCTCAGTTCTCACGAGCTCCTTCTCTCTGAGTTCCCAGACCAGGTCATCATAGCATTTCGTAGAAGACTGAGCTTGCGTATCTTTAGTATTTTTATTATTAGTTTGTACTCAAATATTATTTAGGTACTTTTGGTATTATTTATTTATGTTACTTGTTTGCGTTGGATTAAGATTTTTAGTACGTATGTGTTTAGGATTTGAAATTTGTTACTTTGTAGAATAGGTTTCATATTTTGGTTAGGAAAGGAAAAAAAGGCGCCGACCTAGTAGGAAAAGGAGAAGGGATTGCAGGATTTCCTAGCCTATAAATATTTAATCATTCTCTGGATTAATGCATACGAATATTGAACCCAAATATTTAGCTTTTGTTCTTTTATTTGCTATTTTCTTTGTTATTTCCTTTGAGAATTCTTGTTTTAGTCTTTTATTCTGTCCGACTAGTAAAAACGTCATCCCCCACGTCACATCACCATAACAGTTGGTATCAAAGCCCAATTCTTAGGAAGACGAGTAAGCAACCAACGAAGTCCATGGTTACCAGCAACATCGAAGGGTCAGAACCCGACCCTCTTCACCCACGGTTGCACGCATTGGAGGAACGGCTCGAAAGCTTTGAGGGTCGTATGACTCCTTTGGTCGAGCGGGTCAAAACCCTAGACCACAAAGTCAACTACATCACTAGGATGATGGCAGAGGGTTTCGCGGAAACAGAGGCGAGGAACGAGCAGTGATTCTTTCCATTGAAGGATTTGGTGCGTACCATCGCCACCCAGAACATCATAGCGGATCGATAGCTGGAGGCGATGGCCGACTCCGACGGACGAAGCAGCAGTGCTACCGCAACTCTGATCGCGGCTCGAGCTCACGAATGAACACCTGCAACGCATCAGAGAAAATGAAAGGGCCTTTGATCGATGAAGAAGAGGCGACATCAATCCCAAGCCGCCGTTCGTGGTGGGATTGTCGATGGGAGGCGGTAGCGGAATTACATGACTAAGTGAATCTCAACCATTTGTTTAAGTTTTAATCTAGTGGTTGTAATTAATTTCATTTAATGAAGGGTAAGGTAGTAATTACACAAGTTATTTCTTATTTTTCGAGAAAGTGTAACAAAGAACTGAAAGAGCATCGGTCTTTCACCTACTTAAAAGATCTTTGTTTTGCACCTTGCGCCTATCACCATCCTTCTAAAACATTTATGTTGACCTTTCCCGAGTAAATCAAGCAAGATCATGTAGAATTAGGACGACCCTAGCCACTAGAAACCCGGCTCCTAGGAAACACATCAAGTGTGGGGAATTTAGATGCCTCGATTAGCATGATTTAATCGTATGTTTGTTTGGGGACAAACAAACGCTTTAGTGTGGGGAATTGATAACACCTAAAAGAGGTGTTATTTGGCTCTCATTCTTGAGGCATTTGCATGCTAAATCACCATGTCTAGGCCACATATCAAGTTAGTTTAGGTCTATTTTTGCTTCTAATTGAAAAACATCCATTTTGGCATGTGTTAGCTTGATGTGAAGGTTTTTATGGGGAAATCAACTCCACTTTGCCGTATTTTATGCTTTTCCAGTATTTGTGATGAATTTTCAGAACTTATATTCATCTAGGATCAATCGGGAATCAATTAGAGTTCATCCGAGCACTATTAGGAAGCATAGGAGTAAGAAGGGAAGAAAAAGCACAAGTTACGGCCACGTCACGACCGTGACCAGGTGATGACCATGTTCGCAGTAGCCTAGAACTTCAGCAGACAGCCAACAAAAGTAGAAAGTTTTGACACTTGAATCGCAGCCAAGGAGCTTTTCGACCGCGATAAAAATCGCGGCCGTGATCTCACGATGGAGGCCACAATCTCAGAACTTGAAGCCGATGTCAAGACGCGAAGTTTCGGGAGGTTCGGCCCCGTTTCACCCCAATCACGGCTTGGTCATCCCCGCGACCATTGGGTCACACCCTTTAGGTTGTGATCTATGCATGACACTATAAATACCCCTTCTTCTGTACTTGACGAAGGAGAGTCGACTAGAGTGAGAAAATTTGGGTTTTGTGCAGTTTTTAGAGAGGGAAACAGTTTGGGAGAGTTTGGTAAAGGTCAAATCCATCCAAAGATCAAGGAAGAAGGTGCAATCCAAGGAGAAGAAGATGATTTTCAACACTTCCCCTCTATGACTTGTATCTCTAAGGTTGTTTAGGGAAGATGAATCCTAGCTTATAGTTTGTGTATGAGTCATATATAAGCATGATTATGAACCTATTTATCAATGTTTGTTGATTTTTATGCATAATATTGCTTGATTTTGATTGATTTGTTCTTAACCTAGGTGATAGTTTCATCACCGTTGGTCAAGAGTGCTTTAGACATCAATAAGTGTTGGATTGTTTGTATCTTATTTGTCTAAGTTGCAACCTAGATTATAGGGAATTATCATTGTCTTGCATATGAATTCATGGTATAATTGAGTTTGACAGGGTACTTAATGCTTCTAATTAGGGTTTAGATGTGTGAATGCCTCTTACCCCGATTGGATGACCTAGAGGGTTATCTTGAGGTCAAGGTGATCATCCTTTGTTAGTTAGATTCTCACCTAATTGATGCTTGTCTATTAAATGTGTTACCATCGACCTGCCCGACTTGTGTGCGGACGGATTTAAGTCGTTTAGAGGAGGTAGAACCCATCACTAGTTAGGTAAATCGGTTGAGGTGACATTGGATTGGCTATCCTAGCTAGGAGGGGGCCGATTGCATGACCATTGAATCAATCCTCATCTTCGTGACCTCCGCACCTCAAGATACCATTAGATTATCGCCCGTAACAACCTTTAGCTAGAGGGAATCGTCCGTAATAACCTATAGAAGGAATCAACCATAGCGAAAGGATAATCTTGCTTAATTGATAGATGAAAAAACACGAGTTAAGAAAAAAACATACATAAGAGATGGAACCCCCCACCCCCAGCCCCAAGGTAAGTCCTGGTGAAAGGAAATTTGTCTAATCGACAACTAAAAAATGTGAATTAATGAGGAAAGAAATGTTTAAATGTAAGCCTTAACAAGTCATACTCATATGATGTACTCTCCCACACTCCATCATTCAGACCATTTAAGCAAATTTTTGTTATTTATATATGAATGATAATAATCTTATTAGGGTGACTAGTCTTAAGGTGTCGGATTTTGAATTTTAATTTGTAGAATTAGTGTAATATGATGATATAACATATGATGACAACTAATTAACGGATTGCTCTAAGCCCTAGACCTCCAATTTTGAGTTCTATCCATAAACCCTAACCCAAACCCTAAATCTCTAAACTCATAAATCCTTCAAATTAAAGTAAATCTTTAATGGTTTTTGTGCAAATTCATGTGCTTTATTGTTCATCATATCATAAGTGATGATTGACATCATTTTGACATGAATCGCATATTTAAAATAATGTTATGAAGCAATTGTACTGAATACACTCAAAAAAATGATTACACCGAAAACGTGAATACTTAATAATAATGTTTAATTGAATCATGATGTAGCCTGCTGTCCATTGCTACTTTTTCTGTTTTATTTTTTTTAGTTCTTTTTCACCAATGCGAAATGACTGCGAAGCCATTTCCACCACTTCCTTTTAATCTCATTCCAGACCTCAGGGTTCCTAAATGGTTGGCCTGTTTCTGCAACATGATGTCAAAAGCGAGTTTCTATGTATAAATGTTTTGATGTAGAAGCGTAAAATCGTAAGTTTTAAAGTGGAGTTTTTAACTATATAAGTTATAAAAACTGAGATTTTATGTAGAAGCGTTTTAGTGACATAAAAACGTAAAATCGTAAGTTTTTAAGTTTTAAAACGCAATTTTGACAACATTGAACACGATAGCCCTCTTTGTGTTCTTTTGTTCTTTGGAATTATCTGTGAATGATAAGCATAATCATCGTTGTCATTGAATTGAATAGACTTTGTTCCATTAGATGAAAGTTACATCATAGTACTGCCACAATCCAACGACTTAGGGGTCGTTTGGAAGTTGCGATTGTCAAATAGATGTATTGTTGAGAATGCATGTATAATATTATACATATATTGTCGAATTTGATGCATTGTAGAATACAACGTTTGGTATGTGTGATTGTTTATGTCGCATAAGCTAAAAGCTGAGACAAAACAATCTCAACTCAACTATCTCAACAATCACAACTAAAAGTTGAGATATAACAATCACTCAAAATGAGTGATAGTTTATGTCACATCACAAAAACAATTCATGTATTGTTTCTGCTAAAAAAACAAAAAAAAAAAAACAAAAAACAATGCATTGCAAACAATACATGCATAATGACAATCTCAACAAAACAATCGCAACTTCCAAACGACCCCTTAATTTCCAACGTTTATCAAAGCATTTACTCCGAAAGTTATGTGATTTGATGCTTAAAATGCAACCATCAAAGTCAATATAGTTATTATCTAAACACAGTTTACAAACTCATATACATCTGACGTTGGTCACACAAAGGCTGAACAAAAAAAAACTGATAATGAAATCATGACAGTTGGAAAAAACGTAGGAAAAGAATGCTCCTAAAAAGGCTGTCAAAAACTGCCAAACAGGTGGCGATCTCTTGTTCAGATTACAATTTACAACATATTTCACCTCCAAAAAAGAGCATTTCTTTCCCTCTGCATCACCCATCCTGCGTTGTTTTATCATTACCCAACCATTCATTCTTTACACCATATTTGCTTGATCAAGGTTCTCCCAGGCTGGCACCAATGGCTGCCTTATTGACGTGACTTTGAATCCCCTCCCTTGCTCCGAAAGTTTGAAAGCGAAAAGAAAGATCTTGGAGCTGCAACAATTGTGGGTTCGTAGATTAGTAGGTTTACCAAACCTTCTATAAGGACTTATAAGCTCAGCCTTGAGTTTAGCTAACACCACTACTCAGCATCACAGATTACATTAGCTCGGATCGTATGGAAGTCACGACTAGGGATGACAATCAAACTCACGATCGCGAGTATCCGTCCGCCCCCGAGTCCCGACCCAGTTAACACAGGCAATCCCCGCATTGACTGAGTAAGGGGCGAGTACAGATAAAATCTGCTAAAAGTTTGATGGGTATGGGACGGGTATATGATTTTAGCCTCCCCATACCCACCCCACCAAGAGCATTTCTTCACATATTACAAAATACATGGATCAAATCGTAACCTATCAATGATAGTAGGGTAACTCGAGAAAATAAATAGTAGAAATTAAATTGAAAATTTGCACTTCAAATTTGAGGTATAATAGGTTGTTTATGATATAGTAGGTTCGTTTAGTGTTATAATTGAAAATTTGCACTTCAAATTTTAGGTATAATTGCTACCTCTAGCCTAGCCACAATCGTGCTAATCTCTATGTGGAATCCTAATGGGCAAGGCAAAGTCTCTGTAGAACAAAGCCCAACGTGGGATTTGGTCAAAGTTCCCTTATTGACGGAAGGACAAATCACAAGCAAAGAAGTACAGCAGAAAATTATGTCACCTTTGATTGCGCTTCCAGAAACATGATCATTCCTCAATTTGAAGTTGGCAGGAGGTGCTGGAATGGAGGTATGCAGAGCTTGAACTGAAAAACAAATAAAGAAAAAATCACCTCATGCTCCATGATTGGCAAGAACCGAAATTTGAAAGTAAAAGAAGGAAACTAGGGAGAAACAGAAGAGAGCCTTTACAAAGATAGCCATGTGACTCAGAAAAGAAACACCCCATCACTATATACATAACTCATGTACAAACTTCAAGGCATGAAAAATTCACTATTCTACGGTTATATTCCTGATGCAAGTCACCTCCATCCACTTTCCGACCGAACTCTTAAGATACATAGTAGTAACATGGGGGTTTCCCCAAGATAGGAAAATCAGTTCTTCTTTTTGGTGGGAATAGGAAAATCTGTCCATCACATATGCAGCCCAACTTTCAAGCACACAGAAAGACAGAAATGTAAACATGTATACAGCACCAGCTAAACATGAAAAAAGACTGTAAGTTACCTTGCTCATTGAATAATTCTCCATCATTAAAGCCGTCATCAGAAGGATGGCCATGTGAGAATCCCATCCTCGACTTCCTCAAGTCTTCCGACGACCGACTGGCTGGATCTCGCCCATCTTCTGTATCATCATCTCCTTCAGAAGTAGTTGCAGAAATCCAGTCAGCCAAAGTCTCGCCACGGCTTTTCCTTCCGAACTTTATCAACCTTTTGAAACCTCTTGTTGCATCTTTTCGGGAGTGGTTATGTGATGAACTAACAAGAACAGGTTTCTGAGCACTTCCCCACTTCTTTCTCATTCGAGCAGCAACATCTGCTTCTGCTTGAGATAGGGAGTGAGAGTTCCATGATGCGGGGCTCCCCATTGGAGAATCCACAATAGCATCGACATCTGAGGTCTCGTGTTGATAAGAAAACGAGTGCATGTTCCACGAGACAGGGCTTTCTGCTGGTGAATCTTCTACAGTAGTGAATGCTGAAGGCACTGACGCAGGCAATTCAGCAACTGAAGAAAAACTGACCTGAGATCTTTGAGGGTCACTGTTGTCTGATTCTGACATAACCATCTTCTCAGATTCCTGACTCTGTCTCGACTTACCATTACTATCAACATTCGTACAATCTTCCACCTCAGTTGTTTCGAGCTCCTCTTCTCCTACATACCTAATCACGTCAGAACTATCCTCCATTTCGAAAGCAGAATCTTCAAATTCGTCTTCACTTCTCAAAGCCTCAGAGACAGCTGATGATGCTTTCATTTTTTCCATACCTGGTCCCGCATCTGGACCTATCCCATTTCCCTTCTTCAAGAAGGTCTTTGACTCGGTCTGATTTTTATCAGATTTCAATGATGCCAAAACAGTTGCATCGGTTGTGAGAGATAAATCCTTGAACTCGGGAGGACCAGCAGTACTTTTCCTCAATGGCTGAGAACGTCTCGACTTATTGTCTTCTTTTGTGAGTGGTACATCTTCTCCGTTGCTCTTGCTGCGAGAGTAGCTTCTCGCCTGAGAACGGTTTGTGGTCTTGCCAGCTCCAGGAAATGGCTTTGTGTTCTCTTTCCTGAATTCTGAGAAGTTTGGAACTGATTGTGCTAGATGATTTTCCGATGGTGTCCTTCGCTTTCCAGAACTCGGGTTGGAACTTTTCACTGCTGACCGTGGAACAGGTGCTGCTGCAGCTGTCCGAGGAGTTGACGAAGACATATTCCGGGTTGATGTGAACTTCTTGTTCTGATCAGCTGCCTCAGTAAATGATTTGTCTTGTCCATAAAACTGTTCTGAATAGTCCGGGAGATCTTCATCCTCATCGCTTTGGATTAAGTTGACAGGCAGCTGCCAAAAAGTGAATCTCATTCAATGAGAAGGGTACAAGTCTTGGTGATACAAGAAAGGTACAGACCATTAGGCAAAGCAGGCAACAGTAGGGAAAAAGGTCAACACTCATAAAAGTTCTCGGCATCAGCGCTCCCCCCCCACTATTGAATAGACAGATTCATTATACCTGCTGTTTCTTCGCGCTCGAATGAACAGAGAATGATCTCAGTTTCTCAGTAAGTCGACGAGCACGTGAATCCTGCTTATCAGCAGATGCTGAAAATTTAGATTTCATCTCGGCCTTGCTTCGATCAAGGTTATCATGCATAGCCTTCAACTTAGCTTCCTTCTCTTCCCTTTTGGTAACCCACTCTTCTCTTAGTTTTGCATCCCTCTTCTTCATGTACATTTCATAGAACTTTCCTCTAGAATCCTCAGAAAAACTTAGGTCAGAGAAATTCCTTCTCAATGAGCTGCTGTAGTCCGGTTGATCTAACATTTTTGTAGGCAGTGTGTTGAACTCTACTGTATCACTTTTTCCAATTGCTTCAAGCTCCACTTTCTTGATCTGAAAATGCATGGGAGAACTCTCCACTGCTGCTGCTGATGTTTTGTGAACCAAACTCGCTGTCTGTTGATCAACCTGTATCTCCATAGGCTTGTTTCTCCTATTGCAGCTTGAATGATCCCCTGGAACACGAAGTTTATGTTCTGCGAAAAGCTTTTCAAGTTCGTTTGCCTTCATTTTCAGCTCATCATTCAGCTCCTGATTTCCCTTTGATTGTCTTACCCTTTGAAATTGCTCAACAGATGATGCTTGGGCAGTAAGGTGACTTCCCTGCAAATCCAGCATTCTTTTACCTAAATTAACTGGCTTGCTGCTTCCAAAAGGAACAACACTCTCATCATTCCTATCCCGCCCAATAGAAACTGACTTTTGCATCTTCACTATTGTTGGTGCTTCAAGGTTTCCCCCCTTTGTTGATTCCCTCCCAGAAAATGCAACAGTCTTCTTCCCTGCTGGCTCGGCTTCACTGTTAAAGGATCTACACTGAGACTGAGATGCAGACTGATCGCCTCCAACCTCTTTATGTAGCAAGTTCTTCGGTCTCCCACCTAAGCCACCTTCAAACTGCCCTGAAAGAGATCTACCATGATTCCTAGGCCGTGAATGATTTGGGAGATGATCTCTTACCTCAATGTCTTCAACTCTCTTCCCAAATTCACCATCTGGGACCCTAAGCCACGAATGATTTGGCTTGCCTTCAATCAGCACATGATCCTTATCTCTGCCCAAACTGTCTTCCTTACCCGATGTGACCACATATCTCTCCTCCCGAAAGCCTAGATTCCCCGCTCCAGCCTGAGATACCCCTTGTTCTGTCCAGTTAACTTTATCATCCTTCAACTCTAACTCAGGGCCCTTCCCTTCAACACTAGTTGTCTGCGACTCACCCTGACCTTTCAACCCAAAGGCAGAGCTGGGATCAGGTAAACCTTTCAAGTCCTTGCTATTATCCTCGGATGAGAAAGAAAAGGCAGTAGCTTTGGCTTGGGAGGCAGCAGATGATGAAGAGGGTGTACATAATGGGCTATCTGTGTTGCTTCCATCTTTTTTTTCGTTGCCTATATCTATGCTCATATCACTAGCTCCACTCCATCTCCTCAGCACAGCCTTTTCAGCTGCAGATACAGATGACACATCAGAGGATAATCTCCTTAACTCTGCAGATTTCCCCACAGATATTGACTTGCTACCAGAGTTTTCCTTCTGCTTGTTCTCAAACAGGTTAATCCTGTCTTGAACACTTAGCCGCCTGGAAGATTGGCTTGGTAGTCCAGGTGATGATTCAGCAACAGCTCCTTCCTTCTCTTTATTCTGCTGTTCAGGAAGGGAGAAAGATGTATGTTCTCTAGTTTGAGGTTGGATAGTTGCGTCCGGGCTTCTTTGTTCTTGACCTGCAAGGTGTTTCCCTTGGAAAGAAGGTTGGTGGGACCCACATGGGTCTTCATTGGAGTCATCAATTGACATGTCTGATCCCCATGATGACCGGACAGCTTGATCCTCGACACGTAGCTTCCATTGACTGATCAAATCAACTCGTCTCTGGCACAGTGAGATATATTTGGTACAAGCTTCACTGCAGACAACACACAACAAAAAGTTTAGTGATGTCTGAAGAAGAAAATAAAGAAAAGGGATGCCATACAACATGAAAAAGTTCTATTCTATTTAAGTAAGATTTAAGAAAATAAATGCAGAGGGAAAATGTGGTAGGAAGTACAGGGAAATTGGACCCTTCAACCAAAGAAAACAGCCTATTAACTAACAGCAACCTATCACAAGTCGACATCCAGACATTGGAGGAGAAGACATTAAGATCGAATTATGTTTTATTAGCTTTATTATTTTGCCATTTTCCATTTTGGGACCATTTGAAGAAATCTGAATAATCTGATCAAGTATATAAAAGATAAGTTAAGCAATTGCAGGTTGATCAAAAGGCTAATGCATGCTCTTCTAGCTTTAAACTCGAAAAAGGAAGCAGATTTGAGCAAGGCACGAATAAATGAGGCGTAGACAAATTCTGTGACATTCCCAAGAGTCACCAAAGCACTCACTTAAGACGATAAGCCCCAAAGCATTCTGCAAAGAGCTGGAGTTCCAATATACTTTCAGGGTAGAAACCAGCAGCTAAAGCACGAGCACAGGCTGTAACTAAATCCTTCCTAACCGCGCTCAACCGAACATCTATTGCCCTCAGAAGCTCTTTCCTGCAGAAATGGCAGTTAGGAAACCCATCTCAGTTAATACAATAACAAAAACAGCTCCAATTTTATAGAGAATGCATGAAAAGTAACTTAAAGTAAACACTGATGTTCATGATTACACCTGTCGACATCAAGTGAACATGTTCAAACCTACATGGTATTTAGGAACAATCACGACGAAGAAACATAAATTCCAGCACAGCTGAAATCCACACTTTGTTAAAATGAAAAACAGGAAAATGGGATAGGGAGACATACTTTGTTGCATCAGCTCCTCCTAAGGAGCCTGTACCATCCTCACCTGGACAGTTATCCAATTAACCAGTAAGCGTACAAGTAACAGCACATAACCAAAACAAAATTTATATATATTGTGCAAGAGAAATTCAGTGTAAATTAAGATGCCTACAGGCCCAAAGCTAAGGATGCAAACATAGTAAGAGACACCTAGTATTTATTTCTCAGCTACAAAGTAGATGTGATTGATACGAACATGAAAAACACATTGAAGTTCCTGTGATGACAAAGACCCCTAATCTTACTTTTCCCCCATTTTATATCAATACCACGGCCTTTCCACACCAAGCTTCAGATTTGATGAATTATCAGCCCCCAGGAACATCATTGTGTGGCACTATGGCTGACAGGGAGACTAATATGTTCTTGTCACAAAGTTCCATATGGCTAGACCACCCTGCGCCTATTGGTTTTCCCCCCTTTAATGAAAACCTCTGCAGAGGAACTCAAGGGCTGGCCTATTCTCAACTCTTCCCAAGACATTGCTAATCTCAAGCAAGCAACATTGCAACTGAAACACAAAAATGATTCAAGTTCTCAAAACACAATTCTAATCCCAAGGCCAGTACCATCTTCAGACCAATGCCACGAAATATTGACCAGCAAACACTTCCAAGTAGTTCCAACCACCAAACCCCTTCCATCTCTTGTGAGACATTTTCTTTTCTTCCTGATTAATCCGTCTCGCATGAGTTGAAACCAGGCATACCTTATCCCTATCAACAAATCGAATAGAAGCCGAAGACTGCACACAGGGATATTCAATAGGAGATCCTGATCCCACTTTTCCATTGTATCATACATTTATAAAATAAGCTTATGGCAAAAACATTTGAAACTACATTAGATCCTCTCATTACAACCACCATAAAGGAGAGCACTTTAAGCAACCTCCTAATTAGAAACATCGTGGAAAGAAACAAGCTTAAGCATTTGAAACTACATTAAATTCGTTCATTAGAAACATCATAAAGGAGACTGCTTTAAGCAGTCCACTAATTGTTTCTCGTCAGGGGAAGAAATAAGCATACCTGGCTACAAAACAGCTTTCAGCCAGATCAGACCATATGGCACCTAAACCAGACTCTTTCCTAATGTAGCAACATTTCCACATGCTTTTCTACCAAAAAAAAAAACATTTCCACATGCTTCTATTTAGCTGAAAATCGCAAGTTATGGATTTTCACACCTACTGGCTATTGCAACCCAACCATTACATTTGAAATGAAAAGAATAAGATGAATTAACATTTTATTATTGTGGATAAGCAGTAACATAATTCATGAGCTTGAAATTACTCAAGAAACATGGCATTTTTGTTTCTTTAACAAAGTCAAAATTATGTTCAGGGAATTAGATTGCCAATAACAGAAGAACACACCTGAACTAGAAACCTGGCCTCCAATCCCCTGAACGAGAAAGTACGAAATCGGTGAAAAGGCCCATTTACCTATACCAAAAACAATCTGCAAGACCAAATGGTAGTTATTACCTGAGAGTATATTTTTCGAGCTCCTTCCAATTGGGACATCTCAGCATCAAATGTGTTCACCATCTCCAAAACCTCGGGTGTGCTGACAAACCGCACAAACCTGAAAAAGAAAAGAATGTAAATAATATCAAATGTTGAATGCAACAAGAGAAGAATTGGCATAATCAACAACAACGAAGATTAGGTCTGCAGGTAAACCTCTCCAGTGTTCCTTTGGTGAACCAAGTCTCGGCATTTCTACGATTGCCAACTTCAAGTTTAATCGAATTAACTGCCTGCGCAACCTGCTCTTCTGCAACCTTCAAATGAGTCACGAATGGCTTGACTAGTCCTGAAGCAAGCTTCTCCGTAATCCCATTCCTCGATACAAACAACTCACATCTGCCAAAACAATATTAAAGGAACAATAATCAATAAGAGCCCACAAATAGGCATTAGAAGAAGAAAATCCCACAAAGATAATACTCACCGTGAGCGCCTTGGGGACAGTTCGAACACAGCATAATCAAGAGATGTATCAGGCCTCACTGCCTTCTTTCTAATAAGCTTAAGCCACCGGTTCAGTTCTTAATCCCACCATAAACATATTCACTCCTGTACACAGAGTCTGCAGATCGTTCAAATCATTCATGATCAGGATTCGTAGCTATCAGTAATCTAGACACCACCCATATTGCCACTAGGAAAATGTCATACAAGAAAAACAATCAAATTAAGACGGTAATGCCCGGAATCCACCAAGTGCTAAATGCGGGAATGCTCAGCAACATCCTACATGGACGGATCTAAAGCCTACTACGTTACTCTAAATGGAAAGAGGGAAGCTGATTCAGAGCCTCCAAGCATAGCCCAGATCTGACTGGTCATCAATCCCAAACCCCAGAGTGCATTAAACTGGTAAGCAAATGCGGACTAGCTTAAACGACCCCAGAGACCAAATTCAATGCCGAAACCGGACCAACAGACCCATCAGTGAGGGAAAAAAGCACTCACTAGTAGCACAAATCAAAGGCACCAACTTCGAATGCACAATGGCGGAAAAGGAAACGACTTTACTAATACATATCCGGAATTTTGAAAGGAAATGTGGTCAAAGCATTACCTTGGAGGAGAATGAGAGAGATCGTGGGAGATTCTCAGTTGATTCGTGTTTCAAATGAGAACTTGCATTTCGTGGTTCTTTCAATCCGGTGGGAGGGGAAAGGAAAGACTTCAACTTTCCTAGTGGGGCTCCGCGGATTGTTTGTGGGCGGGGGGAATGGGAAGAGAACCCTAAACAAATCAGAGAACCCTCAAGCAGCTCAGAACTATATCAAGGTGTTGGGGTTTCTTCCCAACTGGTTTTTCTTTTGCTTTGCTTTACTTTACTTTCTCCACTCTCCCTGGAGGACTGCGTGTGAGCTTTGTGTAGTACAGTGGAGGGGAAAGAGCAGAGAGCGTTTGAGGTTTTGGCTGAATTGGCTCTGCCGGTGTGTGTTTGTTGTGTGTATGTGTTTGCTTGCTTACGTTTGAGTTTTTTTATTTTTTTGTGTTTTTTGTGTGTGTGTGTGTGTTTTTTTTTTGTCTTTGGCATTCCGAATTCCGATTGATAGTTCAGATAAAATCCATTTTCTATTCTAGTTTATAACTAGCGGTTACCCGACCCGTTGGTCGGATGAATTTTGGGAGTTTTCTAAAATAGTTAATTCATTACTTCAAAGTAATCTTTATGGTATTTGTTGATTATGGCATTAGCGATAATTAATTAAATGTATTTTTTATCAAGTCGTCATAGTTTATCTTAGAAAAAAATTTGCACTTCTTATTGTCGGATATGAATATGGAGTTCGAAAGAAATATTTGTCATGTAGAATTTGTGGGAATTGAAGGTTTATAAAAAAATCAAGAGAATAACGAAAAGGTTATATGCTTAGAAATCTCAAATATGAAAAACATAAAAAAATCTTATTGTACAAATTAGTATAATTTAGTGTATAGACTTGTTTGAATAATAAGTGAAGTTGTGAAGCGTTAGATACTAATGTTTATTGTCAACCCGATTTAGCCCGTTAGCTCGATCGAGCAAATAGGTTGAGGGTTAATTGTCCAATCATTTTAGAAAAATTTCAAAAAACAATACACTTAAAAGGTCCAAAAGCAATCACTTGTTAGGCAAGTGAATGATCTGCTACCAATTAACCCTAAGCATTGAATAGGTGTTCCACATCCCTTCTCATCGTCACTCTTGGAAAGAGAAACTCCATGTAACATAAAGAGCATAAAAATGCACCAAATATTAATGGAATCAGAAATATTCACTATTTTGAATCAAAGAGCTTCTTTAAACTCACCAAACTGAGTTAATTAGTCTTTTGCATACTCCCGGAATCACCTATTACATGTAACGTGACTATAAGGAAACACAAATAACAACCAAACGACATTTCATACACCACTATACTAAAAAAGAGAAAGAAAGCATATGAAACTTGGACCTTGAAGTGCAGCTGGTGGGAATTCAGCCTCTTAGGAATCACTTTTGCAGCTGGTGGGAAACACTGCATCATAACAAAATTATTTAAAAACATAACCACATAAAAGGTTGACAAAGAACTAAATGACAGAACAAAAATAAAATAGGCAAAAGTTAAATCAGATAAAAAAGACTCTAAAGAAGCAATCGCATAATAGCTAACTAAACTGAAATTTGATCACCTCTTTGACCTATTTCCTTCTCAGATTCTTCGTCTTTTGTCTAACAAATCCAAAGTTGTTCTATTACGATGACTAAGAGCCTTTCATAATTTTCTCTTGGTTATTGAAATTTCACAGTGCACAAAAGTCATTGTTGAATAGTTGTATCAATAACATGAGTAGAAAACAAAAAAGAAGCATGGTAGAAACATGTTGCTAGTTTATTGAAGGAAATCATTATGAAGAAAAATGGGCTAACTGCAACCACACAACTTGTATTCATACAACAGTACATTGTACTTCAAAAATAAGCTCAAAGAAATTTAAAGTTTTGAATATATCAAAACTAAGCTGAGAAACATGAACTGCTACATAGGCAAAATTGATCCGAGTATAAATAAACAGTAATACGTAACAGCATATAAACTAACTTAGGACACTAACTTTGGTTTTCTTGTTTCCCCCTCATCATTGGGTAATTGAAACTAAAAGGAATTATTGTATATATTCATATACATCGGAATCTCTAAGCAAACCAGGTATTCCTTTTAATTGAAAGATTAAAACAAAGTTACATAAGGGGAACTCTCCCAAAAGCCAAAGCAAACCTCTATCCTCAAGACACGACATAACATCTAAGCATACTACAAAAACATCTGGACAAAATAGAAGAAGAAATAGAAATGTAAGATACACATCCAAAACCATTTTGGAATTTTTTTTGGACAAAAACTGGAGGAAAATATGGACAGAAAACCAGCAACAGTAAGACGTGTAGCGAGCACATGGCACAAAAAGACCGTCAACCCTTTGTTCCCTATCATAAAAGAACCTATTGTCTCCAAAATCCCAAAATTCTAATGAAGAAAATTATCTTATTAGCCCACACTATCTCTATATTTGTGGCCACCTCAATAATCTCATTGAATCATTCTCTTCCAATCTAATCCTGAGCTCTTCATCCCATTGAGTTCACAACACATATAAAGAGCCATGAATCTATAGAGTCGTATCAGTCCAAACAATCTCTAGATTCGTGCCCACCTCAATATTCTCATCGAATATATCTCTTCCAACATATTCCCAAGCTCTTAATTCCGTTGAGTTCACAACACGTATAGGGATCTTGATATTCTACAAACTCGTAGTCGATCACTGGTGATTAGTAGATCATCCATATGCTATTATCTTTCGCTCGCATCCCTTAATTCGTGAATTTCCTTGCATGATTTGTGCTTCAACAAATAATAACTCGCGAATGTTTCTCGAATACTTCTGTTTGGATTTTTGTGGGCTAACTTGGTGTTAGACAATGCGTAAATCATTTTAACATAAATTAATTTGTTTAAATCACACAGCTATACGCATTTAGGTAAATAAGTCTTTACTCATTCCTAACATCAAGGTAAATGACACTAAATAAATACACTCATTACTTGATTTTGCTACATCAGGAAATACTACATTTCAACCAACTAACACTAATATGACAAATAATAAGTATACTTTTTGTTACCCATAATTCGACAAAGCCTGATGTGGTTGGTAATATGATAAATTAGACTGCACAATACCACAATGGTTCACTCCTGGCCCAATCAGTCAAATCAAGCCCAGTGGGCACCTAGGTTTGGGAAGGGATGTTTGAGTACAATGGCGCACTGGGCGAACTGTCAGGCACGAATGTTGTCACTACCTGAGGATTGCCTATTAGTTATTAATATTATTGCTCCTCTATTGTAATGAACCATTTGTCACCTCCTTCAGTGTACTTGGAATAAAAGGGTTACTCTTTGTTAAAAAAAACCCAACCTACCTATCTAACCTTACCCAACCCACCTGTATTTTTTGCTAAAATGAAGGTTTAAACTTGAGTGAGCCTTTCCTTTGGTGGAACCCGTCCCTTTTGGGTTGGTTCGAGTTTTGGGTTACACATCCACAGATACCCAGCCCAACCCATATTACAATTATTTTCCTAAGCTTTTGTTCTCAAAACGTTTTGTCGTATACAAACATATTTGTGAGGAAGTTCAGATATTTTCTCATATTTTCTTCTTATGGTCTCAATAAACTAATGTATTTTTGAGCTGAAAATTTAGATTTAGAGTTAATATAAGCCACGATTCGCTTTTTTCTTGTAAACAATTATAGAAGTATAATATATTTTTGTGTTGGGTTGGATTATTATTTAAATTTATTGTCTACCCGACCAAACCTAATAATAAAAAATTAGTAGGGTTCTAATTTTTTTGAGTGGGTTTGAATTTAGTATTTTCAAAACCAAAATGTATAAATCAAGTGATTAAAATGACTAAACCTGAAACACCTGAGTGCCATGTAGTTCAATTCTGATTATTCATAAAAGTAATGCAACATATTTTGGTACAAATCCCATCTAGCTTTGATGTCATTTTATGGGAGCGGAGGGTGCTAGTTTTACCATTCTCTTTTCATTATTTAAAAGTATATATATATATATATATATATATATATATATTCATTACTTGGCAAGTTAAAAAAAAAGTTACGTCCATGGGTTAGTGGCATCATAAGGAGTTGGACGGGATGGGATCAGTTGGTGGTAAAAGGAGAGGAGGAAAGAAGTGGGTCGGGCACACTAACTGCCGAAATAAATAAATAAATAGTTCTCTGTTGTTGTATGCCATGTCAGCTTCCGAAAATCCCTCTAGATGCAGGAAATTTTGAATGGTGGTGGCAGTTTTACTTTTCAGCTATAAATGATACTGTAGACTCAGTCCGTTAGTTCATATTTGATTATTTATATTTTTATATTACGTTTAGTTCTATCAATCCATTTAAATCTGTTCATAATTTTTTGATCGAGATGATACATAAAAAAAATGATATATAGGTAGTACTTTCGGAGAAATAAGAATATAAAATATAAAAATGTATCATTCATCTCATTTTCATAATGATAATTAAGCCCCAACTAAAATGTTATTGGTTAGTTGATTGTCAAGAAAGATAGAGTACAAAAACTCACTCGAATTCCCACACGACCCATAGATAGTTTGAAACTCAATCTTAAACCTCACAATCCTGCATAAATGGTTCAATGCTCTCTTTTTAGGAACAATATGCTAGTAATAAAAAAGAAATAAAGAGTTGATGATTCAAGTCAACTATATACTAACAACTCGGCTAAGAGGGGACTGATATTCGGCTTTAATATATCGGATTCTTGGACTTTATGTGATTATTTCATGGTATGTTTTAGCCAATTGATGCTATTTTAGGGCTCCCTAACCCGAGAATGGTTGAAAAACCATTACGGTCTAGTGCCATGAGTTTAATATATTGCAGGTGAAGAAAGCACAAAAAAGGAGCGAGTGCACAAGCAATAATTACTCACTTGGGCTCAAGGGTCAGAGGAATTGGTTAGGGGAGCGAGGCTTTTGGGCCGGCTTTGCTGGGACACGCAAAGAGGCGGCCATTTATTTTTGGGCCAGGGAATTCGCTTGGTGGGGTTTTGGACGGAAGTCCAATTAATTGGACATGGAAATTCTACTGGGGACGGAATTATATGGTAAAGAGTGGGACAGGAATTAAAGGGGAGGAGAAAAACAAAAAGCTGGAGAGGAGAGTCTCGGGCGAAGAATTCTTTGGGCGAAAAGAAAGCACAAGCAGCAGCGCGCAGCAGGAGCGGCGATTGAGCAATCGATAATCTACTCATCCAAGGCTTGAGCTGAGTTCAACGAGAGCGATTAGTTGGTTGGATTTTCTGAATCGAACTAGTTGTGTATTGTTGATTTAGAACATGATGAACAAAACCCTATTGTTTTATCTTAATTTCGTCATGAACTAAACCCCGATTTCTGGGGGAAACACCATAGGATGTAGCT